TATTTTATACGTGTTTGATGATCATTTGTTTTATCGATGTGCGCGTTTCACGCAAAAAGTACTGAACCGATTTTAACTGAGTTTTGTATAGTGATAACTATTACTCGTGTCAACATTTAGGATACCTTTTAATACAGTGAAATCTTTCATTCCCACGGGAAAACATAATAACTGGTTCTACCGAGTCATCCCTAGTATCAAATAAAGCTTTTATGTACGACTAGTGACCTGTGTTCGGTTTAATTAGACTCTGGTTACACCTCGCGTCTCCCTCAATAACTTTGCGTTACACTAATATCCCACGGGAATCACTTGATATTTATAAGTAGATTAGGTTATTTAGGAATAATGTTCCTTCCTTATTAGTGGCAGAATTTCCAGAATTAGATCAGTAGTTCTGGAGGTATCTTACAACCAAACTGACAAGCTTTACTGTCTATTCCCTCCACGACCGCGGACACGCCGGCGTTACAGTTAATAATAGATTTCTTTGAAATTTAATTAATTTCTTAGAAATTTATCTGGAGGTATAAAACATACATTACCGTTTCCTACCCACAAAATTTTAAAATCATTGTATAATTTTGTGAGTAGGCTTGTAACAATTCATCTTCGAGACATCTAAAACCTTAGTCTCCCCCGTGATCTTGATTGCTATAAAATATTTGAAACGTCGGGAATCAAAAATCTAAATATTCTCCGAAACATCCGAAAAAATGGTTTTAATTAAAATGTCAAATATTTACGTAAATCTGAGAAAGTATTAACTGTTACAATTTCATAATATAAGAGTAACTTAACATTTTTATAAAGTTTCGTAGTCAAAAGGCAAAAATAGAACCCTAATAGTGTTGCCACATCACTTTTTCGGTTTTCCATGACCATTTTACACGGAAACTTGTCGTGGAAATGTTTCATGTGAACCACTAGATAGCGGTAAAGTCAAATTACGAAAACAAAAAAAAGGAGTGACATTCCACATGTAACTGAGGAGTGAAAAGATGAAATTGAGTATACGACACGCGAGTTACATTTTTTCGATATTTGTTTATTTTCTGAGTTGCCTAGCATCTTAAATAGAAGTTATCATTGGCACAGTAGTACTGTATGTAGTATAAAGAAAAAATTGGTTTGTTGTGGAAACCTAATTAGTTTTCAAAAGACTTACGATGTCCGGTGACCCATATTTGGCCAGCGTGGTAAACTGTGGCCGAATCCTAATTTGGGGCATGCCCATCAATGAAACTTTCAAATTATTTACATTAAACTTTTTGAAGCGTATCAACTAATAATTTTAATATTTAAATCTACCGAGCAATCTCGGAAATACATTTGCACCTCATAATACGTATTAGGTATCACTGAAAGAGAACACCTGTATATCTATTGTGTTACAACTTACTGTCCACTTTCTAAGAAATTGTATCATTTATAAAGAAGTTGCTTCCCGCAACGTATTTTTTTTATAATCAAAAAATCGAATGAATCGAACACGTGACCTTCCAGGCTTATAAGTACTGCACCGCTACGTTCACAAAGTTTATTTGCGCAGTAGTAATTCTCTAGTAGTCTATGTATCCCACCCTTTCTTGGATAAAGCTCAAGCTGTGATGAATATTAAAGTATATTAATGAAGAATCATGGTATTCCCATACCATAAACTGCTTATAAATAAACAAACAAATTCATTTTCGCATTTATATTATTAGTAATAATTTTATATTTTATGATACGCCATTATTTTTAAGCTAGCCAATAAAACGATTTGGTAATTTGCATATACGTACCGTTAAAATATATGACAGTAATAACTAACAATCTGGTGAGCAAACTGAAATTAGCAACAGGCAGTTGTAGAATATACATATATTATGTAACATATTCCTCTCATATTCTGTTTTAAGATAAACTAAAGATGCACTAGGGAATGATTTAAATGAAACAGAAGTATTAGTATTCTAGCACATAAATTATTACGAGTATACGCTATATATTATTATATTTTATAATATAAAAATAAAATTCTTAGGTTTTACATATTAGTATACTCTTACATTGTAGTTTTTGTATTTTATCTCAGAAATGAGACATTTTCCGCGGTAGAAAGTATCCTATATGTTGACCCGGATAATCAGCTATCACCATACCAAATTTCATCAAAAGTCCTCCAGTGGTTTTTCCGTGATGCGGTAACAGACAGACAGAGGAAAATTCTAAAAACTATAGATTCGGCCTCTGTATCGATAATAATGTCTATTTCAATAAGATTTTGAAAAAAAAATAATTGAATGTACAGATTCGGCTTAGTTACAATTTTATTATATGTATAGATGATGAATAAAATAACACCTCCAGGTAAATTTCTAAGAAATCTATTGTTAACTGTAACGCCGGCGTGTCCGCGGTCGTTGAGGGATTAAATATATCTATAGATATAACGAATCAAGTCGTTATGAAAGTCTGAATAAATCATTGTTCGATTTTTAATGATTTGATTACATATCTTCTCGCTATACCACATGCAGTTTGCCAGAGAGAGTAAAGTGTCAACTTCTATATACCTTTTTTATTTATTTCATTGTCACCATTCTCTTTATAAACCTTTTTGGTGTGTCTTAAAAACTTTTGATCTGTTCTTTTTTAGTATAATAAATTATTAGTCCTTAAAAATCCATCGAAGTCTCTTTCTTTTTAAGTACATATCTATGTTGAAAAATTAAGATTTTATTTTTTTATTCAGTTACGTTTTAACGTTTAGTGATTTCTCAGAGATGAGATATTTTCCCGCAGTAAAAAGTATCCTATATGTTAGCCCGGATAACCAGCTATCATCATACGAAATTTCATCAAAATCCCTCCAGTGGTTTTTCCGTGATGCGGTAACAAACAGATAGACAGACAGACAGACAGAAATTCTAAAAACTATAGATTCGGCCTCTGCATCGATAATAATGTCTATTTCAATAAGATTTTCAAAAAAAAAATTGATGTACAGATTCGACTTAGTTACAATTTTATTATATGTATAGAAGACGTGAGTTCTGCAAAGTCATGGCATGGTGATGTTGTAACATTACCGTGGTCATGGTCAATCAAAATTAAAATCTTAATAATTATTACATGATACGTTGAATAAACGTAGTCCTTTAACAAACGAGGACGCTACCTCGATTCTAAAGGTCACTTGATCCCTACACTACTGTTATAACGTGAAAAAGTAATAAAAACGCACTCACACGTTCGCAGATTTTTGCATTTATAATTTGGTTTGATTGTTAAGTTAAGATGTTTAAAAATGTTTGCTTTTGAACTGATATATTTATATTTTATTTGAATTATTATAGTCTGTATATCTGAATTGTTACACCTAAATATATCATTATTAAATGTTCTAGCAAAAAAATTAAAATGGTTGCCTCGATTTATTCATGACCATGATTTAATGGGCATTTCCGATTACGACTAACAAAAAAGCTGTCGTACATATTTCCAAAATATATTTTTTTTAAAGAAAATTCATTTAAAAATAGCGTCAGCTTGAAATTAATTATGTCAATACTCAATGCTAATGCAAAATATAGGTACTTATTTTTGTAAGAAAAATAATGTTAGCGACACACGGTGAAGTTGGATGCTAATAGCTAAAAGAATCAAGGTAACATTAAAATAATATATTCTAAATCACGCCTTCCAGTGGCGATCTATTTCCTGTCATTAATAATATTTACATATGTTAAAATGTTGTAGTTGCTTAGTAGTTTACATGCATTTAAAAATCATCTAATTTAAAGTTTGGGGCGCAATATGCTACGCGTGAAACGTGTACTACTGTGATACGAGAAGGATATTTGTCTACCTATTTTAATTTCGATAGGCAGTTTGATACTTTGAATATGTCAATATCGCAAATAACCTAACAAATTAAAAAAAATATATAGATAAAAGTAAAAAAAAATGATTTCCATCTATTGTAAAACTATAAGAAACATTAAATTATATGTATACGAGTACGGTGATATACATATAATGATATAATTATAGTTTAACCCCGAAAGTATAAGCGAATATTTCAACCTGGCTGAGTATAAGTCAAGCTTGCTCTAGGGGTTTTAAGCACTTTTTCATTGAAGGGCTTATTTTATTGATTAAACGTATTAAAAAATATTTTTGTATTGATCATACAAATATTTGTTTAATTTCGCCATACCAACTCAACTTTCAGTGCCATTATACAGACGTGTATTGCTACATATATAAAATTTCTCATAATTCTTCTGTGGACTATAAACTTCCTAAGAAAGTAGGTTCTCAGTTACAAGATATTTAAATTTCACTTACTAGTATTAAATCTGATGATATGATAGTTTTATATTGCGCATAAATATGAGTTAATAGTATAAAATCAGGCCATTGCATACTTACGTTCTACATCTGATCGTTTTTTTTAATTGAAGAATCTTATCTGTACATAAAATACATTGTACATAAAATAAAATTCTAACTGAGTCGAATCTGTACATTAAATACCTTTTGGAAAATCTTATTGAAATTGTCATTATTGTTGAAGCTGAGGTCGAATCTGTATATCGAGAAATATATCGTACTCAGTGAATAAACATAGACTTGCATCGTATGTTTCATCTGAACGGGTGCGCAACTTAGACCAGCTTGGCAACTGGCTTCCCTCAAGGCGGCTGATCCCCTGGTCGAATCTGTAGTTTTTAGAATTTTTGCCTGTCTGTCTGGGAACGCATCACAAGAAAATCACTGGACAGGTTTTTGATGAAATTTGGTATGACGATAGCTGGTTATCCGGGTCAACATAAAGGATACCTACTTTTTATTGAAGGAAAATATCTGATCACTGAGAAATCTATACTAATTACTAACCGTTACAACGTACCTAGACATAAAGTATGAAAAATCTAGATATAGATAAATGTAGGATATAAGTTAAACTGTAAAAAATATGTTATATTAAACATGTGGTTTTCTTTCAGGTGGCGAATCAGATCACATATTCCACCTTCACGGCTACAGTTTCCATGTAATTGGCATCCGAAATTTCAACGCTAGTCTAGACAAAGAAACTATCGAGCGAATGAACGTTGAGGGAAGTTTATTCCCTAACAAAAATGTTGAAGATCCAGTGATCAAAGATACTATTACTATACCGAAATTTGGGGTAGCTGCTTTGCGTTTTAAGGCTGATAACCCTGGAGTTTGGATGATGAGGGATGAGAAATCTGCTCATTGGACGCGAGGTTTAGATTTTGTGTTGAAAGTTGGTGATCAGAAAAATTTCGTCCAGGCTCCTGCAGATTTTCCCAAATGTGGTTCCTATGTAGGACCAGAGTATTTTCTAATTTAAACCAAGACTGATTATCCTATTGTTACCATATATATGTCAATTATTTATTGGTATGTGATATGACTGTGATTGCAGACGACCGAAGAAAGTTTGTTAAAATCTATTCTATATCAAAGGAGCTACCGTGGCTTGAAATTTTTAAACTTCTAGTACGAAATTTCAATAAATTATTTTTTATTTTTACCAATTAACTTTAAGGGCTGAAGAAAAGAGGTTTTATTCAATTTTTAAAATGAAAAGACAAAAAGGTCTTTCAATTTTTTTACCAAATAAATAAAAAAAGTATTTCTCTCAACATTTACGCGAACACTTGAATATATTGATTATGAATTTATATAAAAGTGCTCAAACTAATTAATATTCAAATTGCTTGCGTGCATTCATATGCGCAATACATTAAAAACAAGCTTTTAGTCAATAATATCTTCGAGAATTATAACACGTATCTATGTAATAAAATAAATCAAATTAAATTAATAGAGAGTAAAATCGAGTTTATTTGTACCGTATATACAATATCTAGTATTAAATACGACTTTCTTTTATTAGTAGTTATTAAATAAAATTTATAAACCTTGTCATAAATTGTATATTTATTTCCTAGTACAGACATCTTTATCTTAAAATATTAATTGAACAATTCTTGTATAGTATATATATTTATATTTTATTTCGTGTATCTCTGAAATGGCTCTAACGATTTGGATCAAATTTCGTATTTAGATAAGTTTTGGCTCTTAATTAAACTTATTATCTATGGAGAGGTTTGTTTTTGAAAAAAAATGTAATTTTTATATCTTTTCCGAAAAAAATACAATTCTTCAAAAAAAATTATAACGCCTAGCTAAACTCAGTCGCTAAGGTACTAAATATTATTTACATACATATGTAAACATGAATTGTGATAAATACATAAATGAACTGAATGAGCAAAGAAGACCATGCATCTCACATCACATGCTACCTAAAATATATATGAACGATTTAGGGCGGTTCTTAGCATGGGTACTTTCGAATTTCTTTGTTCCCACGGGCTCAAATGCTTCCAAAGTCATAAAGATTTCTGAGATTATCCGGAACAAATAGACAGACAGACAAAATATTTAAAAATTGTGCTTTTCTTATAAGTACCGTATATAATTTCATATGCATTGAGTAAAATGCTGTTATTTTGACATTGCTGATATTCTTGTAACTCCATAAAAGTATGGTCTTAGTACATACATATAATCTGCCCAGTGCGAGGTTTTCTATTGGCAAAATGTATCTATTATAATATTTTAAAGTTTTGTGCTTATTAATATGAGAGGTAAGCAAGTAATTGTAATAAGAAACATGTTATTTTCTGAACCTGATTTTATTAAATTTTAATGACTTAACTCACCACTTGTCGTACATAATTCGTTGGCTTACTATTACAAGGTTCTATGTTAATTTTAATGAAGTTTAGTAATTTTTACATAGAACTTCGTTATTTTGTTATCGTAAAAAACAACAACATAGAACTATGTAAAATTGAATATTTTGTAGTTATAGTGCCGCTATCTAGTGGTTTGTTTTAGCAAAACTGTAGCTAATCACACATAGAACCTTGTAGCATTAATAACTAAATAAGTACTAAAACTGTAACATAGAACCTTGTAATAGTGAGCCAACGAATTATGTCAATATTGTTGTATTTTCTACGTTATCAGGAAATAAATATTTGCTCACACTAATCATGTTACGCGTACTTTACAACTAATGGATGACGAATGGATAAATTATCTTTGTGCTTAGAAGATGTTTATTTTATTTTGTAAGCATATATTCAATGTCTTAGAATTATTTATTAAGCTAAGAACAATATAGGGTAAAATAATAAAAAAAAACTTGAATTTGAACTATAAAATAAAAAAAAAACTTGAATTTGAACTGTCTATTTCGTTGTGTTAGTGGTTCTCTGACACTATTAAATGTCAACAATGAAATAAAACTATTATTTTTTTAGACATCATTTAAATGTCATGGGTTTTTTTTTAATTTATAATTTAAATTTTATTTTTTACTTTTTGAACTGCTCTCTATAATAATTATTGTAAATATATTATAAATATGTATGAGAGTATTGATGCTAACAAGCAGAGCTAAATTAATTGAATAAGCATAAACAATATGTTAAACCTTAATCTTTATGGAGTAGAATAAATACACTTCTAGCACCATCAGTCACGGCTATATTATTATAGGACTGTTACTTAATACTTTCTTAGATTTACGCGAATGTTTGACATTATTAAATAAAACTATCTTTTCGGATTATTTCGCGGATTTATTTTGATTTTTGGTTCCCGACGTTTCGAATGCTTTACAGCATCCATGGTCACGGGAGAGACTGAGGTGTTACATGTCTTAAAGATATAGTTGTTACAGACAGCCTACCCACAATTAACAAAATGAAAATTGCACCAATTACATTACAATATTTTTAACTTTAAACATTTTTTATAATTTTAATTATAATTGAATATGGAAAATTATTTATTTAATTTTTGCTATTATTTTTATAATTATTACAATTTTAAAAATATTAATTAGTAATCTATATTTAGTGTTGCCATTATTATATTTATAACCATAAATAAAAATATAAAAATATAGTATTAATTATTAAAGCCATATAATTGTTCTATGTGTAATTTAAAAAAGTTAAAATTAATTACGGATAATCATTTTAATTTAGTTTGCTATTATTTAAAAACAACTTACTAAGCAACACTATTAAAATATACTTTTACAAATGAAAAATATTAATCTGATAAGCTGTCATTTTGATCTACACAGTATGAACTTACTACATCTGCCTGTCTGTTATGTTTATATTTATTATTTGATTTTATTATATTAATAACAGGATCCCATGACGATGGTAGTACCCAGCCATCTTCCCTATTGAAATTTGGATGTTTTTTAATTTCTATGGCTTCTCGAATCATTCTAGGGCGATATCGGTTTTCTTTCGCCAGGATTTGAGGTCTATCGAAACGAATATAATGGCTTGGGCGGTCCTGGCTATGTTTGCAGACAGCAGATGTTAGAACACATAGCTGATGTGAAGCACCGTCGCAATACAACGTCTATCGAAACGAATATAATGGCTTGCCATTATATTCGTTTCGATAGACCTCAAATCCTGGCGAAAGAAAACCGATATCGCCCTAGAATGATTCGAGAAGCCATAGAAATTAAAAAACATCCAAATTTCAATAGGGAAGATGGCTGGGTACTACCATCGTCATGGGATCCTGTTATTAATATAATAAAATCAAATAATAAATATAAACATAACAGACAGGCAGATGTAGTAAGTTCATACTGTGTAGATCAAAATGACAGCTTATCAGATTAATATTTTTCATTTGTAAAAGTATATTTTAATAGTGTTGCTTAGTAAGTTGTTTTTAAATAATAGCAAACTAAATTAAAATGATTATCCGTAATTAATTTTAACTTTTTTAAATTACACATAGAACAATTATATGGCTTTAATAATTAATACTATATTTTTATATTTTTATTTATGGTTATAAATATAATAATGGCAACACTAAATATAGATTACTAATTAATATTTTTAAAATTGTAATAATTATAAAAATAATAGCAAAAATTAAATAAATAATTTTCCATATTCAATTATAATTAAAATTATAAAAAATGTTTAAAGTTAAAAATATTGTAATGTAATTGGTGCAATTTTCATTTTGTTAATTGTGGGTAGGCTGTCTGTAACAACTATATCTTTAAGACATGTAACACCTCAGTCTCTCCCGTGACCATGGATGCTGTAAAGCATTCGAAACGTCGGGAACCAAAAATCAAAATAAATCCGCGAAATAATCCGAAAAGATAGTTTTATTTAATAAGGACTGTTACTTACCAAGCCAGTTGATAAGAAAAACAAAAAAAAAACATTATTTATGTATAAAGCTTGTCATATCACTTTGGAAAAGGATTCATAACCATCTAGCAGCTAGATTCTGTGTTCAGCCTTTTTTGACGTCCACTGCTGGGCACGGGCTGCCGTTCGATACGAGTGGTATCACGTCGTAGTCCACCACGCTGGCCAAGTGCGGGTTGGCGGACTTCACATGTCTCGAGAAAACTTGCTAGGTTTTCTCAGACATGCAGGATTCCTCACGATGTTTTCCTTCACCGTAACACAAGTGGTAATCATGTTGAAAATGATTCGCACATGGAAATATCAGAAGTGCGAGATCCGGGATTTGAACCCGCTTCACTTGGTTACCCAAGCGATTGCGTTACCACTGGGATACCAGTGCCTCAGCTAGATTCTATCTATTAAAATAGCCGGATGTTCCATTTTTTAAATAAACAAACACAGATTGACATGGCGTCTCACTTATAATACTCCGTTATGCATCGGAAGTTAAAAATAAACACGCAAAGTTGCGGTCAAAAGCTAAACTTACAAACAATATAAATATGTGGTCGGCGGCCGTTTAGAATTGGGGACTTGGCCCCTAGCGGAGTGGGTGGTATTTCTGGATAAGGGACGTGATAGAGAGTCGAAATGTTAAATAAATTTTTTAATACAACAAAAGAGTCAAAAGTTATTGAGACTTAAAGTTATAACATTTCCATACATTATTTTGACATTACTACCATTTAGACACTTGGAGTCAAAACGTCACTTTCAATTGTCAAAATGATCTCCAGATGATTGTCTTTATTTGTACTTTGCGTGAAATTCGAATTTTCTAGTTTTCTAGTCATTTATGGCACTCGCCGGCCGCTACCGCGGCACGCTCGCTTCGCTCGCTCGGCTCGTGCGTTGTGGCAACTGTTCTAACCTAACCTAACCAAGATATGACGAATAATTAATAAATAATCTTAAATGTTCTAACCTAACCTAACCCAGATATGAGGAATAATAAATAAATAATCTTAAATGTTCTAACCTAACCTAACCCAGATATGAGGAATAATAAATAAAT